AGGAATTGGATTTGACCTTAATGTGTCATATTGTTATAGCTTGCCTAGCTTTGGGTTTGCGTAGCCTGGGGCAATTAATAAAGCATTAATGACAAGACCCATTTAAAATGTAGGCTTTTCTGTACAGCCTTAGCTTTTACTTGACTGTGCCTGGGGATACTATGCAACAATACACATTAGATTAAATCAACCCGCACACGGTATACAGGAACAGCTAGAGAACAGAGTAATTTTACAGTTGGTACTACTTAACTATTATTAAATACAAAGATTTTTTTACTCATTTATATGGGCTCTTGTTCAAAAGCAAAAAAATCAAAAAGATTGTATTCAAGACAACAAAATATATTTGTTTTCTGATTTTTCTATTTTTTCCTAATGAGATTACATGTTAAGGTTATTGTGTACATAAATGTCTTCCTTATTTTAAGCTCTTTTTCTTTAAGGAAAAAATTTTCTCATCACTGTCGCTCAATATAAAAATATTATGCTATCATTCTATTTTGTACCTTAATCTAAGGAAAAGCAGTGCATTAAAGTCAAATGGTCATTTCCATATTTAACTTATCTATTACAAAACATTTATAAAAGACAATTACAAGTGATACTAAGTATTAGAAAATTTGATGGATACACTTTTTGTTCAGTTCTTTTCCAAGCAGAAGACAAAGGAAATCAAGCCAACTATATAGTAGCATATCTGTGTATTTTATTTGTTGCCTCAAAAGTTTACATAAGTGAATATTAATTTATCATGCAACATATTAACATTTGGAAAAAAGTAAGATAATTTAATATATATCTTATCTATTTTGAACTCTGAAGCTTGTATTTTTCTCCTAACAGTCTCATGACTTTAATGAGGAAGTTAAAAATACCCTAAAGCCAATATTTAAACTGATTTTCTACCAGTGAAATCAAAGAAGGAGTCAGTTTCTCTCTTAATGACACTTTGAGAATGAATATAGAAAATAAGAGTCCGCAGGCTGTCATTGAACAATAGTATCTAGACTTAGCACAATGTTCATAAGAAGCATTGAATAAATATTTTGTATGTGAATTAAATATTCTGTAATTAAAGGCATCCTTTCACATTTAACATTATTTATATCTTATGTCAGCACTTTAGCCACATTATACCAAATGTTTCACATGAAAATGCCTGCTCCCTGTCAATTTCATAGCATCACAAAAGAGAAAACTGGCTTTCAACTTCATTCAAAGACCTGCCCTCGTATGTCCACACATATACTGCGGTCAGCACACTTATGTATGTAGATTTGAGTTTTAGACTTTAATTTCCATCTGATAATTTTATTGATGCTTTAGATCAACAATTATCTACCAACTTACATTTCAGTGTCTGATGATAAAAGCCCAGTACCCAGTTTTTTCCTCTAAATTTTTCCCAGCACTTTTCCTGTCCAGAACCTTTTCGAAACATTTATGTTTTGTTATTAATTGGGTCACATCAAAGACAGAGACCAGTGTGACTATCATTAATATGGAGGGTTTTGTCTTTTAATTCTCAAGCAGCTGTACTGAACACAAACATGTACTCCCCCCAAGATTTAATTAGTTCACAAGACGCTCATTTCCCCAGCTTGACATTACACAGATTGCTCTGATTTTCAGTTCTCTCCCACCACTCCTGAACCTTTCATATCAAATGGTGTAGTATGTCTTGAATAACTTGCTGTGTAGACCTACTACCCTTTTCTTTTTAAAGGTTGCATGCTACATACATACTCAATAATGTATCTGTGCAGTCTCCTGTTGGTGGCGAGTTTGTCTCTCCGATAGTTTCTGTTAAACACAGGGACGCAGTGAACAACCTTGCACAGACCTCTTGATGTACTTTGTGTATACATGTAAGTCCTATTAATGCACTGGTCACTCAAAGGCCATATGTATATTTCGTTTCTTTAAGAAATTGCCAAACCATCATTCTCAAAGTAAATAATTCACTCCCTATAGCAGTGTGCAGAGGTACTCCCCGTGCTCCCACCATTGCTATTATAATAAACGCAGGTACTTTTGCTCATCTGGCAAGTGAAAAGTGGAGTAATCTTTGTTTGGCCTTGCATTTACTTGAGTGAAATTGAGCATTTTTCATAAATGTATTGACCTAACTCATATCTTTTGCCCATTTAGTATTTTGGTAATATGTCCTTTTTTTTTTTTTTTTAATCTATTGATTTGAAAAAGATCTTTGAAATTGCAGGAAGTTGCACTGCAAGTATGGTTTCTGAGTCTTTCATCTTTGGAGCGTTTGACACCAGACAAATATATCTATCTTTCTCTCTATAACATAAAAATTTGAGATCCTCATAACAGAGTGTTAGAAAGAAAGTAGGTGTTTTTTTCTGCTAATAACTGATAGTAACTTGTAATTTTCTAACTTCATGCTTAAATATATTGAATACAATATGCAGTATTCTTTCCCTCTAAAATAATATCTGATATAAAAGAGAAGACTATATTACTAAGACTAGTAATCATTTTGCTGTGTTCAAAGCCTAGCTTTCTATTTCTTATTCCTAAGCAGATAAAATACAGCCTTTGATATATTTTTAAGGAAATGTGTTTCCATTTCCAGAGCAGAAAAGTATCTCTGCAATCTCTACTAACTTAGATAATCCTATGAGAGAACACTAGAATGTAGCTGATGGTTTTATTCTGTCTCTCTCTATTAATGTCAGCCTCTTCCTGTGCTAATGAACGCAAGCTGGGGGAGAAAGAGTG